TAAATAAATTGAGCTGAAATGAATTAAATGCCATGGGAATAAATATTTTTATTAAGTTTATTGTGTTTGTTTTATTAGGTAATTGTTCTCCATGCATTTTTTAAAATAAAAAACAAGTGAACAAATTTGTGAACTTTTTTGAGGCTCCCTAAGATACCTCTTGCGGACCCCAGTTTGAGAACCTCTGCTGTAAAGAATGTTCAGGTTAAACACTGCTACAGCTACATGCTGCTGCAACTATTTGCCCTTTCACACACACCTACAGAATTCAATGTAAATGACGTGTCGTACGAACCTCTTGACCAGGTCACCCTTGTAAAAGAGATCCTGATCTCAGCGGGTTTTCTACCTAAAGGTTATTGATTGATTGATTGATTGATTGATTGATTGATTGATTGTAAATACGTTTAATGTTAAAAGTGAGGACAAGGTTTAAAAAGTGTTCACATGAACCACAGAGAAATGATGAGGAGTAAAGTTACATCCACTTCAGACCTTCAGCTCATCAGCTGTTAGACTGAACTCTGTTTCTCCAGTCTTCAAACATTTATCTAWAGCAGGTAAGATGTTATTCATTCATAACTGGTACACAGAACCCCAYTTCAGAATGTTCAGAATATCCCTTTCCTCCTCAGAGAAACACAGGAAGCTTTTCTCTGAACTCTCTTTCTGTTTCCTCCAGCTGACCTTCTCTGAGCCTCTGGCTCTGGGCRCCGCCACAGCCTCAGAGTTCGAGGTGGAGCCAGTTCAGGGTCGAAAGGTCAGCAAGGTTGTCAAGACGACGATGGTGAGGGGCGAGAGGACAGAGAAGCTGAGAGGAGACCCCTCACTGGCCGCAGATCTCCCCTCAGCCCGGGAGGACTTTGAGAAGGTCAGTGTGTCCAAAGTAAAACTAATTCTGACAGGAAGAGAAGAGATGTGTTGGTGACAGTAGGTCAGTCGGACCTTCTGAGCTTCTGCAGCTGTAGTTTATGAAGCCACGCCCCCTCGTTCTTCTTCCTGCAGGCGTTGAGTTATGCTGGAGGCTTCGGGACAGTTCTCCTGCCTCATGTGGTGGAGAAGCAGGTTGAACTGGACGACGGGTCTGTGGTGAAAAGGTTGGACTGCATGCGGGTGTGGGGGTGTGTGCTGTGAGGCAGCTGGGCAGCTGTGGTGCAGTGGTAGGGCGGCCGACCTGAGACAAGAAAGTCACAGGTTCGACTTCCCAATATGCCCACATGTCGTGGTGTCCTTGAGCAAGAATCTGAGTGAACAGAGCTCAGGCTGGACTGATTGGAGGCTGAATAATTGTCTAACARTTGGTTTCCAGTTTCTGACATCTTACAGTTTTTTTGTTTTTTAACTCGCTTCAAGTTTGTTTTACGTCTAACGTTATGTTTTTTTTTAAACATCACCTGATAAATTCACACAAACACACAATGAAAACACGTAACTGGAGGTCTGATCCTAGATTATCCTGGATCTCAGGTAAGACTGAAATCCAGGATCAGCTGTGAGGATGGAGACAGGTTGTCTTTGTATATTTATGTTGTATTTCTCTACATTCAACAYAATATTTGTTGATAAAGTTTGTGTTGTGTGAGAGTTCTGAGGGGTTTTGTGAATCTGATGGATTTCTGRAGGTCAGCGGACATTTAAAGAGACTGACATGAATATTTTAAAACAGCTGGATGTAAAAGTATGGTAGGATGTAGAGGTTTGGAAACGTCAATGTCAACTTTATTTATGAAGCACTTTTAAAAACAGCTAATAGCTGCACCAACGTGCTGTACAGCAAACCACAAATATCACAAAACCACAATAATTACTAAAAATACATAATAAATTACATCAAACAATAGTAAGAACAGATAAATTACTATGTCAGTCTTTACTTTGATTAAATGCCATTGAATAACAGTGGGTCTTAAGAAGCACTTTCAAGTTTTCCAGGCTATGAGCAGATCTAATATGAAAGGGCAAGTTGTTCCATAGATTGGGAGCAGACAGCAAAAGCACGATCACCTCTACTCCTAAATCTGGATCTTGGAACATCCAGAAGCATCTGGTTTTTTGACTTCAATGTTCTAGATGAAGAATGATGCAAAAGATCTTGTAGATAGGTTGGAGCAAGACCATTCAAAACTTTAAAAACTAACAATAAATTCTTAAAACCAGTTCAGTGAGATACAGGTAACCAGTGTAAAGAAGCCAACACAGGTGTTATACTGTATGCTCATGTTTCCATGGACCTGTTGGGCTGCAGGGAGGACTGATCCCTTGTACAACGAATTACAGTAGTCCAAACTTGTTGTGATGAAAGCCTAAATAAATTTTCTCAAAACCTCTAAAACAAAAATAAGACTTCACCTTGGCTAAAAGACGTAAATAAAAAAAAGCCTGACTTGACAACTGAATTCACTTGCTTATCCAGTTTCAAACAGCTGTCAAAGACAACACCAAGATTTCTAACAGATGTCTGGTAAAATGGAGATAAAGATCCAAAAATTGCATCAGGGTCACTTCCAGTATTTTTCTTTCCAAATAAAATGACTTGGGTTTTKTTATCATTCAAATGGAAAAAGTTTGAGTCYATCCATGATCTCACTTCACCTAAACAGTCTAGTAGAGACTGTAAAGAATCATCCTTATTTTTCCCATGTAAAACTGTACATCGTCTGCAAAAAAAATGGAAAGAAATATTAAACTTTCTAAAAATGTGTCCAAGAGGCAACATATTCAGTGAAAACAAAACAAAACAGGGCCCAGAACTGAACCCTGAGGGACTCCATACTTTAAAGGTGCTTCAGCAGGGGGAACAGTGATCTAAATTAACAGAGTAGCTCCTGTCTTTCAAATATGACTTGAACCAMACCAGAACTGTACCCCTAAGTCCAACACAGTGTTCCAACCGAGACAGGAGGATGCCATGATCTGAAGTATTCGCTGCACTTAGATCTAATAACAGCAAGGTAGCATTACAGGAAAGATGTACAGGTATGGTAGGTAGGATAGAGGTATGGAGAGATGTATCGGAATGGAGAGATGTAGAGGTATGGTAGGATAGAGGTAGGGTAGGTAGGGCGGCTGTGGCAGAGTGGTTAGGGGAGTCGTCCTGGAACCGGACGGTCGCCAGTTCGATCCCCCGTCCAGCTGCCTCAGTTGTTGTGTCCTTGGGCAAGACACTTCACYCCTAATACCTCTGATGTGTGTCCCATCAGTGTATGAATGTGATTGGCACTGATTAGTCTCCATAGCTGATTGTATATGTTAGCTTTGTAGAGACCTAATAGAGTGCTGTGTGAATGGATAAATGAGGACACAGATTGTAGTGTGAAGAGCTTTGAGTGTCCTGGATGGATAGAAAAGCATTATATAAGTACAGTCCATTTAGTTATGGTAGGATGTAAAAGTACAGTCGGACATACAGGTATGGAAAGATTTAGAAGTATACAGGTATGGCCCACAATACCCAAAGTACAAAAAGCTGCCAATGTGATATTCTAATTTTCTGAAACACTACATTTTTTTTGTTRTGTTAGTCATATCATGAAAATGAAAAGACCCAGTGTGTAGTAAATCTATGTAATGGATGAGTTTCACTGTCTGAACTGATTGACATTAAAAAAAAGAACATTTCACCATATTTTGTTTGAGCAGCACCTGCACACCAGGTGGATTTTGCCACACTGGCACACAGGTGAGAAGTTATTTAGTTTCAGAGCAGAAAATGTTCTTCAGTTTTTTTGCTTCTTATTTTATAAGTTAAAAAAAAACAGTAATTCCTTCCTTTCTGTTTTGTTTCGTCATGAATATTTCTTGGACTTTGGCCCATGGCCTGTGGATTTTTCTTTACAATTCAGAYTAAATTATGAGAGGTTTTTATTTTCTGTGAAGTTAGCACGAGACAAATCCTCTGACCTGCTGCCTCAGACTCTACTAACAATGGTTTGTTTGTTTTATTGTTTTCTACTKGGTGAGTTGTTTGTTTTTCGACTCCACTAAGTAATGCTAACTATTAACCAGAACATCACGTCAACCTGACTGCTCCTGATTGTCTGAGCTTCAAAGTGAAATTTGTGTTTTCATCAGAACKTGACTTTTGAAAYTRTATTTAGTGATTTAACTCTGACCAKTGTGTCTCTGTTTCTGTGCAGAAGTCAGATGCATAAGTGTCGGACCCAGAAGAGGACTGTGGTGAGGGATGCCCAGGAGAAACACGTGCACCTGGAGCGTCTGGATGACACCCCAGATGCCCTGCAGCCTGACGCCCTGCAGCAGCACCTGCACCGACTGCTCCAACGCTACTGTGAGGAGGAGGAGGAGCAGGAGGAGGAGGAGGAGGAGGAGATGGACTGAGATGCTGCTTCCTTTATGCTCACACTACATCTTCCACTAAAACCTTCAGACGTTTGCTTCCTCAGACTTAAATGTTCATTCTGATGGTTTTTCTTGGTTTGTAAAAAAAAAAAAATAGCTGACAGGTTTATGTGCTTTAACATGTTTCCTTTGCTCTGATTGTGACCAAAGAAAGCATCCTGCATCGTTTCACTAAAAATGTGATTCTTTAACCCCTCGGCTGCTGTGATGCGTCTAAAGGCAGGTCGCTCCCACACGGGCCTCTTCTCAAACAACTCTTGTAAACATTTGTACATAAAGGATGGCGCTGGGACTGGGGGGAAAAGGAAAACAAAGTGAAAGCATTTAAAACAAGAGCCTCCGTCCTCCTGCTGTACACACGACCCAGCTGGAGAAATACTGGACCCCCTCAGACTACCGCAGAATTCACCGGAGGAACGGGTGTGTGTCTCTGATCCTGTGTGTTCTCAACCTTCATCTTCACTGTGTGTGTATGTGTGTGTGTGTGTGTGTGTGTAAATAGTGCTTACTGAGAGAGTAAGCAGGACTGTTTCAGAGCCCCGTCACACTTGGACTGAACTTCCCTCCAGAACCCATCTCCTCGTTTCTTCTTAGTGTCAACAAACCAACAGAATTTAACTTCAGTCCACAGAAGGAATGCATTTCACACAGTCCACTTTTTTTAAGCTATATTGGTCAAACTTTGTAAATAACGTCCTGCACGATGTCACGCTCAGATGTTGTGTTGGGGATGACTCTCACTATCACCACGTCATGTTTTAATTCAGCATCTGTAAATTGGACTGTTAGTTATTGCTGTGGTGGCCATCTTGAATTTGTTCCACACACAGAACTCTGCGTTGATCTACAAACACATCAAATCTTACTATAAAATCTGTAAAATAAATTATATTCTAGTCACGTTTTTGTGTTTTCTAAATCAGTTAGCTGTGGCGGCCATCTTGAATTAGGTTGTCTTTAGAATGTCTCATTACAATCCATGCAGAGGTTAATGAGACATTTTGCTAACAGACAAGGTTGATGCCAAAGCTTTAAGCAAAAAATTGTTGAACACAAAGCGCTTTAAGTGTTGAGGATGACTCAGCTACTACCACACCAAATTTTAGCTTATAACTGGCTGAAGTGAAGCTATTCAGATGTTTTGTGGCAGCCATCTTGAATTGGATAAGTTAGAGGAACATCTAACAGTTCAATTAAAAACCAAAAGCAATGTTTCCTTTTACATTTGCGCAACAATAAAATGGCCTGCGAGCCCACACAGGCTCTGCTAAATGATGTTTCAGCAGGTTTGTTGACACTGAGCCGATCTTTGTTTTAATCCTGTTTTCTATCAGAGAATGGTCCACCTCAGTCATTAGCATGTGTGTACCTCTTTATTTATTGCTGTCTGTGCTTTGTGTGTGTTTGTTCCAAAGCTCCTGGTTTGGTTGAGAGCTTTCAGACTGAAATACTGCTTTGACATGAAAGAAGCCTCCTGTTTCCATTGTGACAACATTAAATACATATTTAACAGCGCAAATATGTACGCGGGCATGTACGGTCAGATTTACTGACAAATAAAAAGCTGAAACACTAACGAGACATAGCAGCTGCAGTGTTTACATGGCAGAACAATAAAAGTACGTGTGTCAAACAGGAAGTGATGTCATCCTTTACCAGCACMGTTTAGTTTCCATCCTGAAGCTGCACTTCTGCTTGATTTAAAATGAAGTAAACACATATTTTGGTTTTGATTGGGAGGTTAACAAGCAACACTTCAACTATCACAGTTATCAATTCAGCTGCTGCTTGGGATTCCAACAGAATCTAAAGAAACAAGCAGTGTCCCTGTCACTGAGGGATTTAAACTAATGTTTGTAACATTAAATATCAGGAAGTCAAGGTTTTGAGTACCCAGAGGAACTCTGCTGTGAGAAAGTTTCATCAACAAAACGTTACATTTGACTGAATATAATGAGAACAAATCCTGTTAACAGGATTAAAACCACTGATCAACTTCAGGCTGTGCTTTCACGAGGAAACCAGAGGTTTTGACCTCCTGCCAGGTGAAATGTTTTCCTCTGAGCTGGTTTTAAAGCTCCGCTATGAAGCCAGAGAGTTTCTAACAGACCTGAAGAATCTCAACACATTTTGTTTTTTCTTACAGCAGGACAGAAAAGTTTAGGTTTTAATGYGATGACAGGAGCTAACAGAAGCATTTGATCATCCAGTTTTCTAAATGTTGACAGCAGGAGCTAAAGGAGTCACATGACCTTCATATGTTCTCTGAAGGAAATGCAGTTCGAAACTAATAAGAGGTTCTGACAGGTGGTCAGAGCAAACCGCTTCAGTTTCACATTCAGACAAAAACAAATAAACGTCATTTTTTAAATTTGGCATAAATGACATTTTATTTCAGATTTCCTTAAACATACATCAGGCTCGTCCCGTCACAGTAATCAATGTTATCAACAGGTTGTAGAAAGATAAAAACTGGTTAAATGTGATGAAACTGAATTTATTCAGTGATTCTGTGACTTCAATATCTAAAAAGAAAAACTTAGTCAAACATAAGAAGATGGACACCCAGTGGAAATAACTATCATAATCCCTAATCTGTTTCCAATCTGAACACAATGTTTCTCTTTGTTCTGGAAGAAAAAAAAGAAAAAGAAAGCAGTTCTCAACCCAAAGCAGAGCAGAGACCTGGTGGTGATGAGAGGCAGGACCAGCAGCTAGACTCAGGTTCAGGTTCAGATAAAACACAAACGTTAASAGTCTGAAGGAAACAATATAAAATCACCAGCTTCTTACGGAGTAAAAACTACAGGAGGTTACATTCGGACAGGAGCTGCTCTGAGTTTCAAGTCTCCATGTGAATTAAACAGCTGATGGCAGCAGGGAGCCAAAGAACGGAGCTGAAAGGGTTAACAAGTCAGAGTTTACTGAAAGCTGTACGTCACTGAACCAAAACTGTGTCTACAGGCAGCTACAGCACACCAGCAGAACCAAAGCAGAAAGTTGCAGATACCAGACTGAAGAAGCTCCTCTGAAGTAAACATCTAATAAAACTTGCAGATCTAAAAAAACAAAAACGAAAGCAAAGCTCAGATATGAAACATGCTGATATGAACGTCACACATTTGCACTACAAAAATCACATTTCCCTCATTTCTCCACGGCTCTTGGCTTTTTTCTTACAGGTACAAGATTCTCCAGTCCAACCATATGTAAACAACACACTGAGGGCGGGGCTTTAGCAAATGAGGGCAGGGCTTGGCTGAGGCGACTAATGGTAGGCCGGGTGTGGTCATCTGACTGCTGCAGGAGAGGAAGAACGTCGACTCAGCTGCAACAGAAAACAGAGAAGCTCAACAATCCACAGACCGTTTTAATTATGTCATTAATCATTAAGCACCATGTTGTTATTTAGACAACAGTAGTTATACTCATCGTATTTCAGTGTTTAAATAAAATCCTCCCTGATRGAGATACACGGTTCTACTCTACAAAGTGCAGCTGAGGCTGGGACCGGCCGTACTTGGTGGGGACGGTGGGCGAGCCGGAGCGGTGGAAGTGGATGTTCTGCCACTTGCTGTCGCGGCGGTGCCAGATGCGGGTCTCCTCTGACTGCATGGTGCGGGGCATGCCGCTGGCRTCCACGTACTGCGTGAGGCGGATGTAGGCGATGCAGGCGGCCTCGTCTCCGATCAGGTGGACATGCGGGTTGAGCAGGATGGTATGGATGGGCTGCTTCCCTTTGGACAGAGCTGCGTGGGGCAATACACAGGCAAAACATGGAAACTGCTGTTTTATAAACAAGTCCTGGTTTAAGTACTGGAACTGAACGAAGAACTGTGGGGACAGACTGATACCATACATCGCCATCACTCATTCAGTTTAATAAAGTCTATAATTAATACATTCTTTAATAAAAGTTTTTCTTTCTTGTTCGAGGCAACAAAGGTGCAGAGAAGGGCTGCAACAATTAGTCRCATAATTGATGTCTATTAAATAAAATGATGCGTCGACACTGAAATCCACCAAAAACCACAAATGTTCATTTGTCTGCAATGAAATCCATGAACTGCTGSGAGCAGAATCACTTCTGTCTGGATGCTTTGTTCACTACTGGAGAAGAGTTGCTGGTTTGTAAACCACAGAAGAAGCAAMGAGCAAATCAAAAAGTGATAACAATGGCTAAACTAAGGTGATTGCTTCAAAGAGGAGAGAGAAAAAAGAATAAATACTTCAACTTTTCAAAACTGGCTACAGCTGTCTTCTGCAGTTGGGAAAGTTTCAGAAAGTTAGCTTGTTTGTCAGGTGGATGTCTCACAGATCTTATTTTCACTGATCACGTCGTGCTGTAGCCAACTGTCAATAGGTTTTGCTAGTTTGTCAGAAACTTTGTTAGAAGCAGAGCTATCAGTTATGCTAACATTAGCTAAAGCACTAAGCGTTTTGTATTAAATCACTGAATTATAGTAATAATCAGTCCAGTCTCCTCTTCATTTTTTGTGTTGAAGTCTTATAACTTTAGCCAAATTCAACAAGATTTCAAACAGTGTGGATTTTTTTTTTTACTGTTATGTACCTGAATTAGTTATTCTTTGTTAGACATGACGCTTGGCAGGTTAACAGCCCCCCATGCTGGGGGAGAGGCTGATATTTTGAGTTATTTGTACTTTGTTTAAAATACTACTTGCCGTTTAATTTTTATCCAATTTCCTGTTTATTATATTTACATGTATTATTGTGGTGATAAATAATCATTGACTAGTTGACTAATCAAATAATTGCAGATTAGTTGACTATCAAAATAGTCATTAGTTGCAGCTTTAATGCAGAGGTGGAGCCAGGGGGAGACCAATGATGGACACCACAGATTGACCATTGGCCACCCCAATCATTGGAGGAAACTATACTGTGTGTATATATATATATATATATATATATATATATATAGTATTTCTCGTTTTTATATTTCCTAAAACAACCAGGTGGGTTTTTGATACATGATGGTGGCCATCTTGGATTTCGATGTGGCAACCTAATTTTTAGAAGTGACTTTACCTACACATTGACACAGCCAGATACAAATAAGGAAGTTGGTACCTCCATTTATCTTTCAAGTCATCCAGCTCACAAGACAGACAGTATTTCAGTATCAGACAGTAATTCTTCTCTTCACTATGCAACATGGGACAATCTGGACTTATATCTCCAGAACAAGCTGTACAKATATGTTTCAGTCAAACACTCTGCCCTCCCCCCACCAGGTTCATCAGAGGATCTGTACCATTCTCAAAGTAGAACCGATGGAAATCTGTACCCTCAACCAAGTTGCCCAAAGCCTCAGGCTCAAAGGAAGTGAGGCCAGGATCACATATCTTCCTGAAAGAGAAGCAGCATAATAAAGCCATGACATCATCATGTGGCAACTCCAGTATAGGTCTTATCAATAAATCCTGGTTCAACTCACGTGTAGGCCTCAAAGTCTCCGTTGTTGATGGCTTCAATCAGCTGTTCTGTCACTTTAATGATTTCCTGCTTACGAGCTGCAAGAGAAGAAACAAAAATGTTACTTTAACAGTTTATGCTTTTTTTTATGTGATTTTAAATGTGAAACTGGAGGACGGCACTGAATCAACATCACAGCACAAAGAGGTTCAGGGACTGAAGTCAACATCAGTGTCAGAAGCACAGATGAAACAGTGGAGGAAAAGGCTGCTGGTGGTTTGGTTCAACACAACATCTACATTACCTTTAACGCTAACAAGGTAAGCTAGGAAACAATGAACGCACAGAATTGAGTGCTGCRACGTACATGCAATTTGTTTGGAGAAAACATGGTGACGTTTATTTACACCAACACGTTTTAATCYGTTTACCTTCATCAGCTGGAGGTCCAGTGTTGTTCCCAGCTAACTGAACTCTGACTGTCTGACTGAAAACTAGGCCCTGAAGAGACATCACCAAAAAACTGACCAATAAAAACCAAACCATGCTGCTGCTTCAGCCTGCTTCTGCTTTTGAGACCCAAAACTAGCAGCTGTTCAGGCAGGAGGAGGGGCTGCAGTCTGATAATCTTCAATCATTGGCTGTTTCTGCAGAAAACTCAAACACTGTCCCTCTACTGACCCTGAGGTGGACTTTACCTAGTAAACACTAGATAAAACATGTTAACTCTGTTTTCTGAAACACTCRGTAAAAAAATGGATTTTCCATGTTCCACAAAGTTAAAGACAAAAACTCTAACAACGGACCCAAACTAAGACCCTGGCCACCTAAAATACTTTGTTTCCTTGTGAAAACAGAACTGTTAGTATCTACATACAAACAACCCAAATGCTGCAGAAATTCTGCCTGATTGTGGCACCGCCTCAACAAAGCACCAAAAACAGGACAGAAACTGTGGAGCCAACGCTCCAAACTGGAAACACAAGAAGGAGGAGCAAGAACTGCATCCCTTCTGTGCACAAGTTTAACTCCGGCCTGGTGTCACATTAAACTCAGAGTTCAGTTCAGACCCATAAACTCTGGATCTGTTCAGATCCTCAAACTGCAATTCTATTTATCTCTTAATCCATCTGTCAAAAACTTCAACACTGTGGACCATGTTTTAAAGAACAGGTCTCTTAATTTCAGGCTGTCAGAACGTACAGTTTCCTTGTTCAMAAATTCTTTGAGTGACAGGACTCAGTGTGTTAAATGTTTTATGGATTAGAGGACCAGCATTACAGTGGATATCTGGTTATTTGGAAAAAAGGAAACAGTTTGTACAAGTACATGATGCAAGATCTGAACTCTGTGAAATCACATGTGGAGTTCCTCAGGGTTCTGTACTTGGACCAAAATTATTTATCCTATACGTGAATGACTTGGTCAAAGTGTCAGGATTATTTAAWTGCATTTTGTTCGCTGATATGTTTTTTGTTTGGGTTGTAGTAATTTCCTGCATATAATTATCAGTTCTGACCATATTCTTAACCATTTCCCTGATGACACAGAGGAGGAAAAAAAACACTTTTGACCTCAAAGACTATTCCTAAGGATTTTGCACGGAACTTCATTTGTGGCTTGAATTAACATCTCTCACACCTTCCCCCACTGGACTTTGCGACGACGCCTCAGCAGCCAACTGATAAATTGTCGCCTCCTTATTGAAATAAACTCCTTCAGGACCCCCACAAGACTGTTCTATCCAAAAGAATCGTAAATTCCTTTGTTTAACCACAAACTCTTTCAGCTTGACTGAGATCAAAGGAACCAGAATCTACCATTCTTGATTAAAATTTAAAAAAAGAACAAGATTGAATGTTTTTATCCAACTATGTTTTCATATATCTGAATCAAAGAAATGTGATTTTACCTGTTTTCTTACAGGAAGGACAATAGACAGTGATTACCTTCTAAGTTTTTACTCAATTAACTATTCACATTWTTAAGTATTATTTTGTGTATGGTTTTAACTGTTTACAAGTTAAATTCCTCCTGACAAATGTTTTTTTCAGGATTTTAACTATTGTGTTTCCCTGTTTATCTAAGCAATGTTTATTTACCTCTATATTTAGCCAATGTCTTTTAATAACTAAAGGTATACCCGTGTTCTTTTAGAATAATTATTTTCTATTTTATGGTTAAAATAGAGTTAAACATTTATACTTGTAAAGAGATTAGATTCYCTTGTTTATCACCTTAAAGATAAACTAGAACACACCCTATTCTTTGTCTCGAAGTAAAGTTTCCTCCAACGGATCTGATTCGTTAAAAACGTTTTAGCGATACCGTGTAGCGTTCTAATTGGATCATTCAAAACCTTAACTCCGCCCCAAACAAAGGTTTTAAAAAGTCAGYRCACTCCCAAATTAGTCAGTGAGAGAAGGAAGTCAGTTAAAGTTGATGTCAGTTCTCAGAAGCTCAGCAGAGGCCCTGCTGCCAGCCCTCCCCCCATGGGCTGGGCAAGACTGTGGTCCTCCTGCATCTTTCGCTGGATTCCTCATCAGTGTTTAATGTCGTTTCGTTAGAAACTAGTTTTAATGYTACCTTGTCGGCTCAACACCTGAGCTTGATTTTAATAGAAGTCCATAAGCTAATTTTAAATCATGCGTCGTTTTAGTCCGTTTCTTTTTCTCTACGAAGTCGAGATCAAATTACCAAGCCTTGCAGCAGCCTAAGGAGAACTGGACTACGTCATCACCAGAGAATTACCCATTCTCTGACCACCGGGACCAATCGAGTTTACAGGTAAACCCTGTGGCCCGTCATCCAGCTTGGATGAAGAGTTCTACCTGGGAGCGACCCCAGAGGTGACCTTCAGTCGCTGACTTCCCTCCTGGTACCCACATGGAGGAAACAAAAACGTAAAAGTGAACATTTGTTCTGGTGACAAAATGGTGCTCAGGCTTAATTTGACTTTTATCTTTGTATGAGATTTGATAATCTAAACGATTTCTCTCCCTCATTTAACTAGGATCCCTTAGTTAAATTCTCATCCTTAAAAAAAACCCTCACCTCACTCCAGCCTCAAAACCCCTTTAAGTGTTTATTTTGTTGTTTGTTTATTTGTTTGTTTGTTTGTTTTGTTATTCATTCATTGCTCAAATATCTCTGTATTCTTCTGGTTCAGAATGTCATTTCATACTCGCCATAGCTGTAAATACATTTTAATCTGTGAATAAATGACCTGTGGAGAACTGGTCAACATGAGACAATGTCTAATTTCCTGTGTTTTGATAAAAGTATTATTGATTTTTTTTTTTTAAGAAAAGAACTCATTATTAATTTGGGTGATGCATTAATAG